GGAATGCTGATAAGATGAAAAAGATGATATATTTTGGTATCATTCTTGATCTAAGATACAAGTTGAGTTATATTGAGTGGACGTTTAAGGACATGTACGGAGTTGGATCGAAGTTTGGTAGTGACTTGGTAAAATATATAAAAGCGGATTTACAAAAGTTGTATGATTGGTATAAGCAAGCTTATGACCAAAAACATAATTCCACACACCCTTTTGATAGTGGTGGAAATAATGTCTCCAATGACGTAACAACTGTAGGTGTTGTCCGTTCATCCATTATGGCTAGAGCTGATGCTTTTGAGCAACATTTAGAGGAACAAAACTCGATTGGTCAACAAAATGAGCTTCAGGGGTATAATTCTAGTAAGTGTGTTAAAAGGGATCCTAACTTTGACATTCTTGTGTGGTGGAAACGCAATTCAACCGAATATCCTATTTTATCTACAATGGCTAAAGATATTTTAGCCACACCAGTTTCTACCGTTGCTTCTGAAAGTGATTTTAGCACAGGAGGGAGGGTCATAGAAACCTATAAGAGCTCTCTAACTGCTGAAATGGAAGAAGCTTTAATTTGCACCCATAATTGGTTAAGGCCTTCTTTAACCTATTTTAAAGATATGAACCTCATGGAAGATTTTGAGCTTTCAAAAGATATTGTAACAGGTCAATTTATTAATTCATTTTGAATATATAAGATATTCTATTGTTATATAATTATGTCTTTCTAAAAAATATTTTTTTTCATTACTTTAGAGTTTCAAAAAATATCTTCAGCAGCAAGGGGAGGATCAGGTGTCTCATCATCACAACCTCGTCCACAACCTTCTGGTTGTGCTTGAAATGGATGTATGTATATCATATTTACTTTATTACTTTTTTATTTATTTTTATAACTAATGTTTATGTTGTCCAATTTTTCAGGTCAACTATATATATATATATATATATATATATATATATATATATATATATATATATATATATATATATATATATATATATATATATATATATATATATATATATATATATATATATATATATATATATATATATATATATATATATATATATATATATATATATATATATATATATATATATATATATATATAACTACTGAATCGAAGAATATATATTTATATTTTGTCCCTTGAATTTTGAGGTTTTGTGCAGCAGCAGTAGTTTGGTAAATGGGCTGCAGATAAATTCAGGAATAAAAATATGTCATCATAAATAAAATCATAGATTGGGTTTAATATAGTTGTTTTTCTGTTAACAATCTAATCTTACTGGTTTTGTTCAGCTTCTCCACCAGAAGTTCAGTGGAAACTTCATTGTAAACCTGTTGGGGAAATGGAAGGAATTTGGATATGGTGGTGGTCATTTAATTCCTGTTGGTGGTATTGCATACTACATCACTCCGTCGTCGAGGTAAGGGACATCTTACAGTTATAGTTATGATAATCTAATGTATATAAATAACATTCATCTCTATGATGTGATATAGCAGACAATCCCTATAATCTTTTACACTTATTTAGGTCTCATGATTTTTACATACAGGTACTTCTTCGCAGAAGTTTTTGACTTCTTCAGAAGTTTCTTTCTTATAGTATTACATGGGAATATTCTATTGTTGATAGTTCCATTAGCCATACGCCTTAATCACCGACCTTGTTTTCTAGCTTTTGTATACATAGTGCTTTCTTCCATGCTGAAGTCTTATCCTTCTGTAAGTTGTTTATTTCGCCAGTAATTTTTACTTTTACTTTGTATTAGTAGTAAATAGGGAATACTGTTATTTTATTTACAAGAAAGTAATTAAACTAACACATTTTCCAACAAAGGTTTTAGTGGGTGTTGTTGAATACTCCCTCCATTCCTATTTATAAGCAAATTTTAATATTTTAGGTTCATTAAGTAATTAATGCATCTAACCTATATATAGTCTAAATACATCATTTATTGAATGAATCTAGAAAGTCAAAATTTGCTTATAAAAGAGAATGGAGGGAGTATATTCTTATAATTTTGAATAATAGATGTTATTATCCTTTTAAATGTTCAAACATTGATATTGTAAAGAGTATTTATCCCAAAGAGTTCACAAATAAAGACATCTACACACTTTGCACATGTTCATACACAATTAGAACTTAGTTGGAAATGTGGATCTACAATTTTGTCAACTATACTCTATCAGTCCATAACTTATTAAAAACCAGGCATATTGTGAATTTACATGTTTATGAGGTCTTATTGATCCTTGTACTATTTGTCTTCCGTTTTAACTAGGTTGATGATTTTGCTCTGTACTTGAGTTTACTGGGCTTATTTTCTTATGAACTCAAAGGTAGCTTCTCTTACCGTTCTTTTACATTGATCATAACCTCTTTTTGAATAATCGACTTTCTTGATTTTTAGATATGCATTATTCTGTCTTCCTGTTTTCTGGTTATGTTGGAGTTTCACTTTTTAGCCCTGTGATGCACAACTTATTGATATGGAGGGTATGTAGTTTTGGTTGATCTACATTTTCAAATAGATTAAATACTTTTCTATCCTCATTTCCTCAAGTGTGTAATGAAATTTACAGGGTACCGGCAATGCAAACTTTTACTTCACTACTGCAACATTTCCTTTCTAATTGATATTTACTCGTCTTCTTGTGTCAATATTGTTGCTATCTCTTGTTTCTCACCCTGCCCTTTTTTAATTGAAGGTCGGATCAAACTATATCCACATCACACTTCACTTATTTTATCTTGATATAAACTATGTATTCATTTACATTTTTAGATAATTTTAAGTAAATGTGAACCTAGTAAAAAATTATTTGCCTTTTCTTGTATATTGTTATATTAAGAGCTGAAGAATAATGCAAGTTTATGAACCTTTTTCGAGTGCATACCGAGGTTCCACCTTTCTGAAAACCGTTGAAGGAGTCATCTCCATTGGGGCTTTTGCGTGGGGGAAGGGAGGTGTCGGGAAAAGGGTTGGAAAACATTGTTAGGAATCAAACCTCCCTATAACAACCCCAACTTATAATTAACATAACTATGCCATGGACCTCATGAACCTTTTTTATTCTTTCTTCTAATTAACAAGCTCCTAGTTTGACACAAGTAAGAAATCTATAGTGGAAAACTTCACTGCCTTTTTAAAATGCTTGTCTTAAAACTTTGAATCAATTAGTTTGGATATGAAAAACTGCTTTAATTAAACGATTCAACATGTTATTATTCTGTAGACTTAATCTTCTTACTTCTTGTGTGCCCAGATCATTCTGGTAATTGAAAGTGTTAACACCATGCTTAATCATGACATAATGCTTACAAATCTATTTACGACAAATCTTCAAAATGTCAAATCTTGAGAGCTTCCTTTGGAGTATGATTTCAATGCATCCAAAATTTCTGTTGTGTCCTGAGTTCACTTGATCTTGATCAAAAAAAGGAAAATTATAGATTCCACGGTTGGACTTGGCGTTCTTCTAGATCATGGTGTTCTTCTAGTTGGTTTTGGAAAAGGTGCTTATGCTCCCATTCGATTGAAGGAAAAGCCTTACTGGATCATTAAGAACTCTTGGGGGCAGAATTGGGGAAAGCAAGGATACTACAAGATTTGCAGAGGTAGAAATGTATGTGGAGTGGATTCAACGGTTTCAACTGTAGCTGCAACTCAATCCAACCATTAAAAAAATACAGGGATGCTGATTCTAGTGCTGTTACAACTAATAGAATCAGGATATCATGTAGATGCTGTTACAACTAATAGAAAGCATGATATCATGTAGATGCTGTTACAACTAATAAAAATATTTTGAAGAAACTAATTCAGTAGAAGCTGATTCAGGAAAATTTAAATGATAATATTGTAGTAATTTTAAGTCTTTGATCATGTGAAGAATTATTGAGTTAACATGTAATGGCCATAGTGATTAATTTATTTGGTGATTTGTTTGTCAAACACCAGGTTAGTATGTATTTAATTGGTATGTATTATGTCTGTTTAAATATTTTTGAGCCTAAATATTGGATAAGTCAATTAATTAGAAATACTCATCCGCATTAACCTGAACCCGTCTAAATCAACTCTCGAATTAGGCAAAAATGAATCTGTTATTACTACCTGCAATTTGGATTGAGGGGAGGTTTTGGGCCCGAACCCGCCCAACCCGGCTCGTTATCCAATCCTAATTATAATAATCACTTTGCGGTTGTTGCTCAAATCTGACACACTGAAAAGATTCAACTCTTTTAAAATATGTAGTCTTACTTCAATATATTATTATAAATACATTTTTTATAAGAAAATGCTAATGACACTCTTTAAAGTTTAAATACTTAAAAGTAATAAGATTCTTTAGAATGTATCTATTTAATATATTAAAATGGAAAGAAATTAATTTTTATTAAAAATATTCTATTTATTTAATATTTTTAAAGAGAGTTTCGGAGCACTCATTAGCATCACCTTTTTATAAATATAATTTTTGCTACTTAAAAACAATAAATGCATTTTTGTTATTTCAAAATAAAAAATACATTTTTTTTAACTCTTCAATTTCTATTTTCTTTATTCCCACTTTCTTCTCAAAACGAAATATACTCTTGTGTAATTGTTAAACCACTCAGTGCCGGAGCTCCTCCGATACCTTCCCCTGACGACGGCCGACCCATAAACGCCATCTTCAGAGTCGTGCCGTACTATCTCTCTCACTTATTCTTGTATCTCAAAGTAACAATATTTCCTCTCTTTCGTTTCACATTTGTTTCGAAATTTTGAATTTCTTTGTATGCAGTAATTTATTTAATTATATCGAATTCATAATATCTACACATCTATTTATGCGTTTCACTCAAATGAATTCCTATGTCTAAGTCCCAAATGCATGCGAATTGAATTTCCCATTTTATGTACACCAACTGTTTGAATAAATGTTTCACTCAATGTTTGCTTCCTTAACTTTTCAGGGCAACTTCTTATCATTATCCATGAGGCTCTATGATGAATTCAAAGAGATATTAAAGATTCAGAAACTTCGAAGATCTGTATCTTTTGCTGGGTTCTACGGCTTCACCACGCTTATCATCTATGCTTATGTTAACAATACGTGGGTTGCACACTGCTTAAAAACTTGTTCTTATTGTTATAACTAGAATTTGTGTTTTGTTTATTGGTTCTCGTGATAATCTATAGCGTGTCGATTGTGATTTTGGTTTTGCAGAACTAGAGCTGGGTATTCTAGAGCTGATCAATACTATGCATCATACCCAGCTGGTACCGAGCTTTTAACCGACACTACCAAGGTCTTTTTCATTATAGAATCTGAAAAGTATCTCATTTATTTTGATGTTGTTTTAGTTCCGAGTATGATTGTAGTGCTTGAAATTGTTGTCAGCTATACAAAGCTGCTCTTGGAAACTGCTTTGAATCTGAAGAGTGGGGCTCATTTGAGTTTTGTGTCATGCAAAAACACTTTGAGCGTCAAGGGAAGTCACCATATGCATATCATGCTGTGAGTTTCAATATCTTTTCTTTATCTCGTGTTAAATCAAGAATAAGAACTTTTGTCCCTTCATATTTCAATCTTTGAAGATATTGATTTAGAACTATTTCATATCCAATCTCATAAAAGTTAAATGCTTTCAGTTTTTTATATATCTCCTATTTAAGTTTTAGCAACATGCTAAAAGACTTATGATTCTCTTTATATCATAGGATCATCAACATATACTCTTTTAGGTACTAATCGAGGGCCTCAACAGATTCTCCTGTTATACCAGGTGGATTGTCACATGAACTCTTTTAGGTTCTAACCATAACAAACAATAAAATAATAGTTATGACAAATACAATGAAAGTATTTGCCTTAGTTTAAAATCTTTAACAATAATTTCAACCACGTTTCTAAGTTTGTTAAATTTCTTTAAATTGTATTCAATCTTTTACAGTCTGTAAAGGGTTTATGTAACCAGTAGTGAATGTCAAAGATATAGACAATATGTTCAAGGGATTTTTTTATCATAGTTTTTCAAAGAAAGTATGCTTTTGCACAGGTTGTTAGAATCTAGTTCAAGTTACTTAATGCTGCTCATTATATTTTGTTTTAACTGCAATGTGTTGGACTTGTTACAGCAATACATGGCACACCTCCTTTCTCATGGACAGGTTGATGGAAGCGGGTAACCAATAAACCATATGAAGTAATGACAAAGTCAAAAGTTTAGAACATAAGAAAACATGTTATATAACCCAAATGAGAAAACTTGAGGTTTGAGTTTGTCAGGTTTTGAAATGCTTTATATTCTATACCCCTTGTTTTATTTTTTAATAATGAAAGTAGACAAATCATTTTCTTTCTTTTTTAGGATAGCATCAAACTTTTATAATATTTTATTTTCCATCCCTTTGATATATAAATAGTCAAATACCCCTGTAAGTGTTAAATGCTTCAGGTTTTGTTGTTAAACATGCTACATATATGTGTATTTAATGAAAAATATTTTCAGTTATCATTTTTGGTTGAGTGTCACGGAAACTTTCTTCTCACTGCCACCAATCTATTATATTCATGTTTATTCATTTCCATCACTATATGAAGGTTGAGTTACAATAGCATTTTCAGAATGCTGAAAATAACTTTTAGCATTTTGAAAAATACTGATATTGTTTTCCGAGTACACAAAACTTAGGTTGTTAATGTCAAAGTGCGGCCCTATACCTCCAAAATACTATAGGGGATATCAGGATGACCATGATTGTGAAGACTAAAAAAACAATGTGTATAGTGAATAAAAATTCTAACAACATACATAAACGCCTAAAAATAGAAAAATACACCGATTTAAAGGAACAATTATACTCAATAATTATAATAAACTTTGTCATGTCCCATCAAAATGAGTTCCATCAAAATCAAATTTTTAAAGTATTTAGAATTACTTAACCAAATTTTAAAAGTAAACAAAGTGAAATTTCTAAATCATATATACTTCTATGCCATCTTAACTTTTAAGTTCCACCCCATTAATATTAGTTCTTCACTTAATTCAAACTCTTCAAACTCTTGTTCTTCCACCTCTAACTCTTCATCTCCATTAGGCACAACTCTAGCATGTTTATATTGGCGTCTCTTAACTCTTGCTGTCTCATACCAACAACTTTTCCAGTCAAGTCCTTTTCTCTCAATCAAATTATCCTCAACTATTCCATTAATAACAATCATAAGTGTTGCTGAGGGGCATATTGGAGATTTTAACTTACCACCCCCTAAATTATACATGACACTTAATACTTTCATATTTTCAAAACTGTTCTTGACTGAAAATTGGTTCAAATTTTCGTTAAAAATTTTCAGTACAAACTAAAATTTTCGATAATGTATTCTAAATTTTTGGTATATCGGAAATTTCAAAATTTCTGAAATGTTTCAATAAATTTCAGAAATTTATAATCTACCAGTTGTTACTGGAAATTTTAACCTAAGTGAAATTTTGGGTTGTGTTATTTGTTTGATTTTTTAGACGTTCAGGATTTTGCCGACATTTTTGGATGATTGTGCTTGCAACGACATTTTTGTATGGTCTAGAGTATATGCAAAGTTGTATAAATAGGGGGTCACATGTTGTTTGATAAAAACATCTAAAAAAATGTCAGATATGTCATGTTGTTTGATAAAAACATCTCAAAAAGTGCATCTTCCTCAACTATTAGTTAAAGTAGAAGTGCACTTCAACAGAACTTTCCCTCCTGTAGAGTATCGGCTTCCTTATGACACCACATCTCTTGCCGGCCTGACGTCCAAGTTGAATGAATTGTTGCCTGATGCCAAAAACAGAAAGGTGATAAAGATTGAGTTGCGTAAAGATTGGATTGATACTAACGCGAGGGCGAAATACAACCTTATTGAGTTGAAGACTGACAAAGATGTGAAGGATATGTGGAGATCATTTCACTGTAGGACAACAAAGGGGCCGATTAAGTTAGATGTTAAGATTTTAATATTTGTTGACGACATAATGAAGATGTTGAAACGTCCAGAATCATCTGGTAATGTCTAGGGTTTTCTCATTTGTAAATCATCTGGTAGTGTTTAGGTTTTTCTTAAGATATGTATAAGGTATCCCATAGAGAAGTGTCATCCATGTCCATTTGGTTCCTCTCTTCTTCTGTAGATGTTGAAGAAGTTGTTTAAGAAAGAGAAGCTTTCCCAGTCGATTGGTGAGAGGTGTTGTCATCAAGTTCAGTGGATTTGTTGACTTCGTCGACAATGGCCGCAGTAGCAGTTAGTTAATGTAGTGGTGAGTTGTTGGTTGAAGTTGGTTTTTGAGTAAAGGCCGACACAAGTTTTGTTGATGAACTGCCTCTCAGAAAAGTCAAATGTGAATACTCAATATAGAAAAACTGTGAGAAGGATAAAGAATAGTGAATTTACCTTTAATGTATCTGCGTCGATGTTAGAGTTAAAGCTTTCATTTAATGCCCATTTCCTTGTTGCGCCTGTCGCCTTCGCAACTTTCCCTGCAGGAACTTTTTCCCCTTCTTCGCCTTTGGAGTGGGAGCCACTCTAGGGCTAGCTGGAATTTTCTTGGTACCATCACCTCATGTTTTCTTTTAATATGGAGGAGGCTCAGGGAATGAATCTTAGACAGGGATAGGTTTAGGAATCGTTGCGACGAATTCACCCTTTGGGGTGGTATCATCAACCTGCACAACAATTAGATAAGAGGTGTTCTGGTAAAAAAAGTTTTAAGTTTAAGATGTTGAGCGATACAAAGCTAAGTGTCACCATAGAGAACTTACTTGTGCAGGTTTGGAGGAGGTTTCCTCGACCTTGGATTGTATGAACTTTAGCACTAATAGCGTCACTGGTCCTCTTCCTATGTTCGACGGTTGTGATAAAAGAAAAGCAGTTGCAAATATAGAGAACGAAGATTATAGGATTGGAAAGATGGTGAAGAGATCTTTTTGTTTTCCACCCTCATGTATGGGAGTTTCGACCCTGACATGATATATGTCGACGTGAAAGAGGCCTTTGAAACTGTATAAGTCCAGCTTGGTCAGAGTCACACAGTGCGCAAGCTTCAAGCATTCGTTCTTATGTACCTTCAAGAATTCCCCACAAACGAACCACTATGGAAACTGAGGGGAAAAAGCCAAAGCCATTTCGCTGGTGGGCAGTGGGGGAAATTTAGGAGGGTAATAATTTAGGGCAAACATATATTTGTCCACCACATACTTAGGAATCTTTAAGCTGGGAAGCTTCGCCTGCAATTTTCTTTCAGAGTAACAACTGCCTCACGGATCGTCTGACTAAGGTTGTTTGGGTTGTACATAGTTTCAAAATATTTCTGGAAAGCTTGGATCTCTTTGATGTGTTTAGATCTACTTTTGTGAATTTTTTACTTCAAAGAAGAGAAAACGCTAGTAGGCCTTCCACCAAGTATCAAAAGCTTGGGTACAATAGTAGGACATCTCAAAAGCAAATGGAGTGAGTGTGGGGCGAACATTAACACGTCGAGCTATTTTTTAAAGGTATCATCTTCACAATAGTCGATGGTGTTAAAGCATAACTCACTTTTATTTTTGAAGAAGGGTCGAGGTATAGTTTGACTAATCACAAATTGGAGAGATGCCAAGTTAGGTTGGTAGCTAAGGATCTTCACATGTGCTTTGGAGGTCCTGAGTCTGGTAGAAAGAAGTTTAGGAGTCAAGAAGGCTTCCCATATCCTCTTTGTTTCATTCTCCTTTTCACCACTGGTTGGGAATTGTCGGGTGAACTGTTCAGGTCCATGTGCTTTTTTAGAAAAGGGGGTCATGGTTGCATTTAAGTGATAACGCTTGGCTAACATCATGAAGTACGTGAAAAAGGCATCTCGATCTGACTTATTCTTATCAGTCAGAGTCGGAAGGTTTAGTCGACAAATCTTCAAAATGGCATCTCGATCTGACTTATTCTTCCATTAATGCTTACAAAGCTATTTACGACAAATCTTCAAAATGTCAAATCTTGAGAGCTTCCTTTGGAGTATGATTTCAATGCATCCAAAATTTCTGTTGTGTCCTGAGTTCACTTGATCTTGATCAAAAAAAGGAAAATTATAGATTCCACGGTTGGACTTGGCGTTCTTCTAGATCATGGTGTTCTTCTAATTGGTTTTGGAAAAGGTGCTTATGCTCCCATTCGATTGAAGGAAAAGCCTTACTGGATCATTAAGAACTCTTGGGGGCAGAATTGGGGAGAGCAAGGATACTACAAGATTTACAGAGATAGAAATGTATGTGGAGTGGATTCAACGGTTTCAACTGTAGCTGCAGCTCAATCCAACCATTAAAAAAAATACAGGGATGCTTGTCGCGGTGAAAATCGGATACCAAACTATTGATTAGTTTGAATCTTTAATTCATTTTGCAACCGAACTTTGATTTGTCCAAAGGAAGGGATAAAGATCGAAATTCCCACAATGCAATGCAAATGCAAGCTAGATTGTTTAGGTTCGGGGGTTGGTTAAACTTAGGGAAGGTACTAGCATCCTAAGTTTCTGTAGTACTCTACAGGAACCTCTTGTTTTATGTTGTTTACTGCTATGTGTTTATCTGCTTAATGGTTTAGAAACCCTAGGGGTTTATTTCTAAGTATACTCGATAAGGCATCGCACCTTGTGCCTACATATCCTTACGGGAGTGGAATCAGAGTATGTTGTAGTTCACCCTAAAGGGTTAGAGGAGCTCTTCGACTGTGGTCAAAGTTCCTACGGGTTTAGGGTAGTTGTTTTGATTGGGTTTAGGAGAAGAGATGAGTCTTCATTTTAAGGGAGAGATAACCACCACAAGTGTAAAAGAGAAGGGTTGTAGGAAATGGTCTTTGCATCATCTTAAGAGAAGGTCTTACATACTTAGATGGTCGCCAAGCATGCCTTTGTCATTCTTAAGGCAAAGTCCCTACATGTTTGGTCGTATTGTTGTGGGGGTGGAGATTATATCTCACTTAAGATGATTAACATCTATTCTCTATTTGTGTTTGAAAAGAGTTGTATTATGTTGATTGTTTGTTTCTACGTTGTAAAGATAACGGTCCTTCCTATGGGGTAGGTCCTATCCTAAGCGATCAACTTGAATGGGATCAAGGATCGTGGGGAGCATGATGCATATGATGTGCAACTACACACAATGTTGAATTATGTGTA